TTGACTACAAGTGCTACCAAGTGTAGCGGTACTGCCGTAGCTTAGCGCTTGAGGAAGCGTACTTTAGGTCACCCACCTTTCGTTCTTTACAAGAACCAAGTATGAGTTAGCGGATCGCAATCCGCTTAGTCCAAGAGTAATTATTGCCTTCCCAAGGCTAATTGACTCTTCGGCTTAAAATCCAAAACTGATTTTTTTATCCTAATTTTTTAGAGTTTAGATTTCACTAAATATATATAATAAAATCCAAATACATGCATAACTATCGGCTACCGAGCCCTGCACCGTATTCTTATTTGGGTGTGGTCACACCATGCACATCTTGTGTGACAACCCCCCCTGTTATCAGGGCTCGTGTAATCCCGTTACATATTGGGTTAAGGTGTGGTTACTCGTGGAGTGAGCAGATTGCGATTCAGTACATACTAGTATAAAACGTGGTCGGCGACCTTAGCTTAGTCTCCTTCAAGCTAAACAGCTACGGCAATTCCGCTGCAACACTCGTGAATGGAGTGACTAGGGTAGTACAAGAGAGTATCTAACTTGCATCTCCATCCCAAACAGAAGCTATTACGAATCATGATGAACCACAAATGTGAGGCTTTGCACCACCAATGAGATCCAAAATCATCATACGCCATGAATTTGTCTGTCACTGAGTTAGTAGCACTGAACGCTAGCTTAGCCCAACGATCCTACCCACTTTTTGTATATTACAAAGATCACAAAAAAACGCCATATGTGTTGTCCTATTACTTTTGAGAGTAAATAAGTACCTCGAAAGAAATTCTCCGCGACATGTTAATGGTATCACCTGAAGAATGACAAGATGTCAGAGACACGTTTTGTGCAAGGCTTCGGTAAATTGCAATTAATTCTCCAGCTCGGCGCCGAATTTCTGTGTCAAAACGACTAATTGCACGTTTGCGTCGTGCACAGCGCTAGATGCAGCCGCCGTGTTGGCGTGGACAGCGATTCCTGGAAATGCTGTGCTGTAGAATACCATGTGCGAGTGCGTCCTGTATAGTCTTCTACCGTGTTGGTGGGTATGAAAGGGTTCTCATATGAGTGCGTGATCATCTCGACATTGCAGCGGCTAGACAATTCTAGCTCAAGGCTCAGATTTCATTTCAAAACATCATGGTAAGATGCACTGGAACAAACATCTCGATTTTGTCGATGGGTGTCACGTAAAATATCATGAGTAGTCCTAGCTAGTGGAATGCTTGGCAGCTGGGTGATTGTGCCTACCGGCGACGTTTAGCAGGCTGGTAACGCAGCTGATAAAGCATATGCACAAACCTATTTGGATGATGGAATGGTCAATGCTTATCCTTTAGAACCGCGGAGAATGGATACAACTATTCTGTTTGATAATTTGATAGCTGCGGTGACAGATGACCAGACGAAGTACGTATATTGCGAATTAGGAATCGTATACGAGGCATTTGCGCGAGTTGCAGGGGCAAGGTGCTCGCACTTATAAAATTTGCTTTTCGCAGTGCAGTAGATATTTCCACATCATATTTTTGTAAAACTTCTCCTCGTACCTCTTGACACCTCCACAACGAAAATTACAGTCTCAGTAGTGGAGGGATAGTCGATATTGATCGGCTTGAAAATATCGGCTCGGATAAACCTTGTAGCAAAATTGACAACTTTTAACTTAAAGAAAATGATCGTCGTGCGTCGAGTGTGCACCGCAAAAACAAATTAATTTGTAATGGATATAATAATACTAACAATTGATCTTACACTGCATACACAAAACTTGGTTCCCCATTGCTCTTTAAAACCTACTTTCGTAGCTAGAGCGGGATTCGTTTACGCTTTAAATAGCTGACCGTAGGCGTGATTGTGCACTTCAGCTAAGCTATCTTATGTTATGGATCAGTGGTTCGTATTCGAATTGCTTGAATCCACCAAGCTAATCACTTCGATTGCGCAGCTTAAAGGGTGCGGCTATGAAAGATATAGGCCAAACACCAAGACACAAATAAAACATTGACGTATTGCCATTACTGAGATACCTCACATGAGCCAGCCATGGGCTAGTCGCACCTGCCAGATTTGTCAAATCAGCAGGGGCTCCCTACAATCGTGTGAAAAGGATAGTGACCTGTTAGTTTCACTACATCATTAATCAGTATCTGGTGACGTGGATGGGATACTTTAACTTCCAAAAAATGATGTGATCTCAAAGTCGCACTGTGACAAATTATCTCGATGCCGTAATCGCTTACGACTTAGCGCAGCTTTTTATCATTACATTCTCAACAAAACATACCTATTTATGACGCACAACGCGATTCTGACTAACAGCCGTAAACCGGCGTTGTTTCAAGTTTCAGGATCACCTCTAAGCGTTAGCTAGCGCGATTTCGTATTCTCAATACTCTCTTCGTGCGTGGTGCACGGCAATCCCACAGGAGTATCGATTACCGATCAGTTTAACTGTTTAAGGTATTGTCTATGTAACGGGGTTACATGAGAGTGACCCGTCACTCTCCCAAGGGAGCTGTGGTGT